CGTCTACGACGAAGTAGATGCGTCTACCGTCGACGACAACGTCATAAGAGAAGCGATACCTACTAGATGGGTACACAGGAAGAAAGGACCAGGAGTGCGAAGTCGAATCGTCGCAAAAGGCTACACAGAGAAGATCGAGGACGAAGACTCCGTCTACGCCTCTACACCAATGTTCACGACACTCCGGACACTTCTCGCACTACAAATGTCACGACCAAACTGGATAGCGCGACTAGGTGACGTCTCTACAGCATTTCTACACGCACCCATCGCAAAAGACCACGACGGTAAACAACGTGACGTCTACCTTTGGCCACCTAAAGAACTTTGTCCACAACAGGACAAAATCTGGCGACTAAAGAAAGCCATGTATGGACTACGCAGTTCACCAAAAGCATGGCAGGACTACCTGGCTGAAGTGTTACAAAAGCTCAGCTTTGTAAGACTAAAGTCAGAACCTAACGTCTACACCAATGCAACTCGCGACTGCTACATCATGGTCTACGTGGATGATCTCTTGGTACTTGGTGACAAGACTACTGTCGACTCCACCTTCGAGGCCATCCAGAAGCAGGTCCTACTCAAGCACATCGGCTACCTCGAACCTGGCAAACCACAACAATTTCTTGGAAGAAACATCGACCACTTTGGCAACTACTGCAACCTGGGACTAAAGGACTCCTACATCGACAACATGATCGAGGAGTCTGGAATGAACAACTGCAACCCAGTGAACACTCCAGGAATTGCACACTACAAACCGACAATAGAAGATGAAGCACTACTTGACCACGAACAACACAAAAGGTACAGAAGGATTGTTGGCAAACTACAATGGTTAGCATACACACGACCAGACATCGCATACTCCACAAAAGAACTAGCACGAGACCTCACAGCACCTACAGAACTCTCACAAAAGAGAGTCAAACATCTACTACGCTACTTGAACGGCACCAAGCACTACAAATTCACCATAGAACCAACAACAACACTCAGAGCAAACACTAACAACATCCTGGATCTCGACGTTCATGTCGATGCCGACTGGGCAGGATGCCCTACTACCAGGAAGTCAACTTCAGGTTTCAACATCATCTTTTTAGGAACAACAGTTGCATTTGGCAGCAGAACACAAGCTACAATAGCACTCAGCTCAGCAGAGTCTGAACTCTACGCCATTTGCACAGGAGTTAATGAGGGACTACACCTCAGAAACTTCCTACTTGAAACCAACATTTGCAGCAAGCTAAATCTACGCATCCACACAGACTCCACAGCAGGCAAGAGCATTGCTACACGACAAGGCACTAGCAAACGAGCAAAACACATCGACCTTAAATTTCTCTACACACAAGACCTCATCAAGCACGACATCATCAGAATCCTCAAAATCAACACACTACACAACAGCTCAGACTTGTTCACAAAATACATTAGCAAAGAAACACTACAGAGGCTCATACAGAGCATTGGCATACGTGTTTAGCACTACGAACAACAACTGTTTCACAACTGTTGCACATCAATCACAACAGTTTGTATATGGCCATATGTAACTACCTGCATTTAAGTAACAGTAACAGTAACAGTGACTACAAGTAATAGTAATTGTAACCACCAGTAATTTGCACTTGCACTTTTGGCGGCTTTTGGCGGCTTGAGTCAACACTACATGTTGTTTTGTGTTTTACTACATGCCCGCATGTGCTTTTGTGAGCTAACATTGGCTCACTACTGTCTGCCCCGTTTCACTGCATCTCGATAGGCCGAACTACCAGCAATGGCTGGAACTACGCCCATGGATGCGACTACGTTGGATGTCATGCCGATGGAGGTTACTACATCAGCGCCAGAGACTACTCTGCCCGTCGAACAACAGGCTGGCAGTACTACACCGGACCGTGTTTTCACACCACCGGATCGGCAGGGCGCTACCGACTCCGGCAGCATGGCTACTTTGGCCACTCCACCACCTGAGGCCTACAACTCCCTCAACTACAACTTCAATCACCAACTACCCACACCGGCACCTTTCTACAGACCCGACGACATCTTGGCACACCTCACTACAACTGAGAACAACATCCCCGACACTCCAGCGATCGACCCGGAGCAGAACTACTTCAGGGTCTACGCGGCTTTGACGCTCGAGGAGTTCCAACTACTAAGTCAACAACAAACTACACCCATCCCCGAGCTCAACTACAACCTACCAGTTCACGACCTACCTTCAGACCTACGGATGCCACACTACGACTCACTACCTCTTCACCTACGTCTTTCAGAGGCAGTCAACTTCTACTACTACAACCTTACATCACTACACCTCACAACCCAGTACACCAACTCGATGGTCATCATCCAACTACACATTCCACCAGAAGTTCTACTACGATTTGTCAGCGCTGGACAACTCGTCAACTTCTGCCGCGACTACGTGAGCCACATGATTTCCATCAAAGATGAGCACCACCTACCTACACGCCAGCTACATCAACGACTACACCGAATCACCTACAACTTGGACCAGATCACCACTACATTCAACCTGTCCAACAACTTCATTTGGAACTATCACATGCCCCTGTACCTACCAGAACTACTCAACTACTTCGACCAACCACAACAACTCCAAGACCACCACTACAAGTCCATCAACACGATGCTACACAAAAGTGTCACCTACTACGGCATCACCCTCCTCACGGCTACAAACCTTTCCATGCAACACAAACTACTACTCCACAACTACCTCACTACCACCGGCCAAGCACTTGCACCACCGGAATGCGACTACAACCGCCTTCGTGGCGGTCCAGACTTCCTCAACACATTCACTACCAACCACTATGCAGGCTTGGACTACCGCATCAGCCAAGTCCAGAACTACCGAGTCCAACACTGGACTAAGCACACCTGATCTCCAGGTGGAGCTGCAGCTACGTGCTGTACTACGTCATCGTACTACGAGATGACTGAGAACCAACTAGGGTTCTTGTACAGCAATTTCACTTTTCTGATCATTTGAAGGTTAGTTGAACTACAGACAGCAGCGCTGTAGATATCTACCTTCGGTCATCTTTTTTAAGAGACTACATGCCTGTTCGCTACAGTAGCATCGGCAAACAACATGCGCATTCGTTTTTGCCACTACTGTCAATACCACCTTTTGGGTCTATGGTTAAAGGACACTACAAGGTCTTTTAACCAAGGGGCCGTGTCAAATATCATGTTGCACTACTTGTCACTTGTGCATGCATGATGTACACTACCCGACTGCAGGCCTTGAGTCTACCAGGAAAAGAGTGCATGCTGGCTGACTACATTTGTGTTTGTGATAACTGAACAACACTTGCACTAGAAGTAAAGTATCAACGTATTTTAACGAGAAAGAGAGAGAGAGAGGGACAGAAAGAGACAGAGCAAGATAAGAAGAAGGAGGAAGAGACAGAGAAAGATAAAGAACACGTCACAGGAAAAAGGATGAGAAAGGTAAATAAAATAGAAAGCAAAAGGTAATTAGAAAGCAAAAGGGTTGAAAGACGGAGAAAGAGAAAAAGCAAGAGAGAAAAAGGGAAAGGGGAGGAACGTAGAGAGAATAAGACAAAACACGCAAAGACAGAAAAAGAGAACGAGAACAAGGGGGATAAAAAGAGAAGCGTGCTGCAGGTCATGCGACAGCAACCAGGCTGTGTTCCACCAGCGGGTTTCGATAGGTACTGGTCTCCTCGGAAGTTTGCATGGTAAAAGTGTGTGTGTGTGTGGGTTTCGCGGCACATGCGTGTGTGTGTGTGTGTGTGCGCGCGCGGCTTGTGCGTGCGTGCATGTCAGTGCATTCGACACACCCCTCTGGCCGCCTAAGCCTCTGAGCACCTACTGCAAGCCTCTATTCCAAGCGCCTAAGCCTCTAAGCCTCTAAGCCTCTTTACGCCTCTCAGCCTCTAAGTCTCCATTAGAGGCTTAGGAGCTTGGAATAGAGGCTTACAGTAGGGTGCCGCTTAGAGGCTTAGGCGCTTAGAGGCTTAGGCGAATTGAGGCTTAGGCGCTTAGAGGCTTAGGCGCATAGAGGCTTAGGCGCTTAGAGGCGGGTGTTGAAATAGCCAGAACCCTTCTCCCAATACAGTGATGACATGTGTGATTTGTGCTGGCTTCATGACAATGACATGTTGATTTCATGGCGATGTCGTGATGACATGTTGATGGCATGTTGGTCTCATGTTAGCTTCATTTCAATGAATTGATCTCGGGCGTGTTTCATGCTGATGATATGGTGATTTCGTGTTGGTTTCTTGCTGATGGCACTGATTTCATGTTGGCTTCATGATGACTTCATGCCGGTTTAAACTCCAGGGTTACTTACTTGGAGCCAAATAAGGACACATTGTCAGGAGACATGTGGCGGGGATCACTTCTCGTGCCCAATTCAAGGACAACTCATCTAGAAACCAGGGCGCTGCGTGACCCAAGGTGGATGTAGTGTCCCATTGGGTTTGTGTGTTTCGTAAGGGTGCCACTAGCTGAGTGAGTCATCCCACAAACACATTGTTTTGCCAACCCTTTCAACCCCCCAAAATAACAAAGAGAGCGGCTTTTTGGTGGGATGCCAACTTGTCAAACTGACAAAGATGACATATGTTATCTTAATAACCATTCTAGCATGCTGACACAACTATCATGATCGAAGTGTTCCTACTCTGACATTTGCGTGACATAATGTTGTATGGTCGTCTCTTAAAGCAAAACCTCCTCCTGGGGTCAAACAAAGGCGACACTGCAAGCCTCCCGTGAAGGATCAAACACAGGCCCATGGGATTGACAACTTGATTCCTTGATAAATGGGAACATGTAAAAAGCAATGACGTTTCAAAAGAACGATGACGATGATGATAAATTTGCAGAGGAATCTCAATATCCAATAGCTCGAAGAAAAAAACACAAAAAAACAAGGAAAACACAAGACAACCTCATCGCGGGGTCCCTCACATCCAACAACTCGCCTGGCCATGGCGGTGATGGCGGCACTGAAGGAGATCACATCCAGCTGCAGGCCTCAGAGAGGCGCCGGGGGTTTTGGGGGCCGGGGCCGGGCTGATTGGAAGGCCCTCCATTCTTGTCTTCTATGTCCAAATAAGTTTGAAGGGTGTTTGTTCCAAAGTTATTCTTAAGGGTAGCTTCAAAGTAAAACCCGAGGGAAGTGAATGATAGCCTTTCTTGCACGATGTCACAACTCAGCAAAAGCTTAAAGTTTGCCAACTGAATATGTATTAATATAAGTGCAAGTTGGGTAAGTCTCATTTTGAGGTGTCCATGCTTTCTGTTTTTTTTTTGGGGGGGGAAGGAAACCAAAGGGACACCATTGTTGATCCCAGTCTTAGACCCAGGAGGATTCGGTGCCCGATTCGCCCATTTGGTTGGACAGCCCAGTTCGAAGCCACAAGCCACGAAGAAGTGACTGATTTTCATCCACTGACCCCACCACTTTGATTTTACCATTGGTCTAGTGGTACCTTCCCCATTCTTTCCAGGGATCCTTCTTTTCAGGAAACCATCAAAAACCCAGGGGAAACGGCCGGTTTTTGAAAAGAACGATGGTTGAAAAGAATGGGGAATCAACCCCTAGAATTGGGACCCCTTTCGTTTAAACAAGAATAGACAAGGGGTGGCTTTCCAGACCCGGGGCTGAGTGAACTGGTCAGACGCTTCTTTAGCCCACCTGCCACCAAAAAGTTGAGTCAGCTTGCCCCTCACTCTAAGGTAAGCTTGCATCAGGTGTCCTTATAAGTTTCCTTCAACCATCGCCCCACCAAAAGGAGACCAGAGTCTTGAAACGGCCACCAGGTAATGTTTAACTCCCCCAACAAGTTGGGAGGGGCTGGTTTCCCAACCAAACGACCCAAGGGTCTTCGTAACTTGCCTAGCTGCGCGCAAGCCGCATCTCCTCCAGCAAGAGCCAGGCGTGCTGCCAGCGGCTCGTGCCCTGGGCGCCTAAAGGATGGGATGCGTTTGCCCCGAGGTCAGCTGCATGCTCGCCATGCCATCGCCAGAATCTCGGGTTTGACATACACCTCCAGGTAAATGAGGGCTCCCTACGTTTCCCCTTACATCAGCCCAAAAGGAGACTCAACATATTCCAGGCTTCTTTGGGGCCTACATTTAGCCCCTTTGAACATCAAAAGCAAGTTAACTTGGCCCAAAAGGTGGATGATTAAAGCCGCCAAAAGGAGAAACTGACCAGGGTTGCTACCAAAACCCAACCAGCAGGATAGAACTTCCGATCAAAGGGAAGCCCCACGATTTTCTACCTCTAATTGGGGGTGGTTTCCCATTTGACCTCTAGAAGACTGTGACCAGGGGTTCAAATCCCAAAACCACATCCAAACCACCAACTAATGGTTGCCTGACCGTTGCATGGACTGATCCTCGGAGTCTGACCTGGGGCACGGGCTGATGGCAGCGTTGTAGCTGATCACATCCGGGGTCACCGACTTCAGGGATATATGTCCCCAAACAGCAACCCAAGGGAGACGCGTCTTAAGTTGGCCTTGAAACCGTCAACAAGGCAAACGACTCATTTTTGATATGACCCTTCCGAACATTGATGCTAGAGTCTGCAAGAAGGGACACACGCCCATTTTGACATGGCCTTGCCAAAAAGTGATGTTCGACTCTCAGCAACAAGAACATCTCTCTGCAAGTTGAACAATCATTGAAAAACCAAGGGATGTCCAAGCCAAAAAGACATTTGTGTAATTTGAGCTGGTTTGACCTGCGGGCAAGCTCTATTTGGACGGTCCTTCGGCATGGCTTTCAAGATCCAAAGGGCCCAGGCCCATTGGCCGCATTTCTCCATGGTGCTGATGACCTGGGCAGCTTTGGGGAGGCTTTCTGCCAATGGCAGTCTTTCGTACAATGGCTGTCAAAAAGCACCCAAATGGAACTCTAAATGGAAACACGGAATACAACCAGCGGTCTGTATTCTGGTATGATTTTGACCCATACCCAATTGCTGGTAGGGAATGACCCAAGGTTACGGGAGTGAACTTGGGGATTCCCTCACTGGAAACCTTTCCAGGGGTCATTCCCTTCATTCCCTGCTGAGAACCAGCAAGTAATCCCCTCAATCCCTCACCGCAACCCAAGCCTGGCGTTAAGGCCCTGGCCGAGTTCATGTGCACCAGATCCATCCGCTGGCGTTCCTCCTAGGTGTGCTTGTCACCTTTAGATTGGCCAGGCAAGGAAACCAAGCTTGTTAGTTGCCACAAACAATGCCGTTATTTACCACACATAAATCAAGTGGTCCAGACCCCAAAAGTGACTAAAGTCCAACTCAGGGCGTGAGGAATCATTCCAAGCCCTTGAAATTAAAGGTCAAATCCGGAAAAAGAGGCTTGGTGCCCTTTGAGTGCTCTGACCTGCCCAGTTGGCCGGAAAAGTTTCGACAAACATTTGAAGAACCCCCCAGAGTTTGAAGTTTGATAACTCACTGGAGAAGGACAAGGGTTCGGCGCCCTGTGATTCGCTGCACTTTTATGACATGGACGTGGTGTCCAAGAGCCAACGATCCAAACACTACAATATTCCCGAGATTCGTTTCGGTTGATTCTAAAGAGACCCCCCAAAAAAACAAACAAACAAGCAACAAAAACAACAAAAGGAAACATGGGATCGCAACCCACACAAGGTCCGGGATTTCTCAGAAACCACCCGCCTCCATCCGCCGCAGCAGGGCCAAGGTGAGGCGCCAGTCCTTCCGGCGCTCGCAGGCGGTGGTCGCCACGCTGAAGCAGACCTCGAGACTTGCTGGGTTCTATAGGCAGGGAATGAGACATGGAGTGACCCCCAAGAAAATCATCCCCGGTTTGGTGTCCTTTTTCGGGAATCCCCTTCCGGTTCATTCCCAACATTCCGTACAAGCTTTGAAGGGTGGGTGAGTCTCTGAGAGGGCATAGCTCCAGGACTTGCCAAATACCAACAAACACCACGAGTTTGGGTTAACTTTCTGGACTGAAGATGGTTCGGAGATATAAAATACAAACAAACATGGGAAGCCAACATGGGTGTGAATGATAGTATTGGACCCTTTGGCGGAGATCGAATACAAGGGCCGAAGTGATTACTACTAGTTTACTCCTCGATCATGACTAACTTTGGTTTAAACGCACCCTCAAAACCCTAGTCTAGCTCTTTAGGCCGCTATGTAAGGGGCCAACTGGTTAGAATGGGGGTTTGGGTACCAGAAAGCTGACATAGGTCTTTACCATGGGAAAGTCATCATGATCATGCGTAATCATCCACCCATTTGTATGATCCACTTGATACCAATGGAAGGCCTTCCAAATGACTGATCCATTCAAAGAGGGTTCCTGGTATGTGGGACCTCTTGCTGGGGCTCCTCAAAGCTACCCTCTAACTGGTGGCTTCGAGGGAAACAGCTCCAAAAGTCATTCTGCGAAGCCTCACAATGCAGCCTTTCAGGAGCCTTCAGGCAAGCTGCCACATTCGGCTGCATGTCCAGCTCGGCCATGCTGTCGAAGATCTCAAGGGCCTGTGCAGACAGGGTTGGCGCTGGTCATCTGGATGAAACCATGCCCAATCGGATTATAGGGGGCGTCTTGTTTGAGGCTACCCTTTTTGGGGGTGGTTTGAAGGGAAACCACAAGGAAAACCCAACTTTTGGGGTCCCTCTATTTTGACACATACCCAGGCGGCCTACATTTTCCCCCCCAAGAAGCCACAGGAACCGATTAACATCGCAAATAGGACTCGGTTTTGGGACCGCGTGTCGTTTCAAGGGATAAAACAAATCATGTCAAGGACCCCTGAAGTGCTCGGTGGGCTTCTTGTGCGCTTCCAGCCTTGGAATCTGTGCCCGGGATACCTGTGTAGTGGGTTCGTCCAAATAGTGACTGGTTCCCAACCACAAATGTCTGGTTTCTTTTTAGCTTCTCTTCTTCAGACCAACCAATAGCTTCACCACCTGGGGTTCTCTTTTGTCGAGGCCCACTTGGTTTCCCTTTAAACTCACCAAAAGCAAGGAGTACCGACCGAGCCTCCAAAAGACGCGCCCAATAACTTGTGGTTTCACTTTTGGCTTCTGCAGCGAACGCCTGGGCTCCGTTTGAGACGTCAATTCCGGCTTCTGAAAAAGGGTCTGCACCAAACATTGAGGACCCCAAAACTGGGAATCACAAAAACGGGTCCCAAAGCTGTCCGACAAATTGGGGTCCAAGGACCAGCAAGACCAACATCGGGATCCCATGGAAGGGAAAGTAAAGGGACTCCTAGGGTGCTGGGGGGCAACACACTAGTTTACCAATCTTGTGTGTCCAAGATCGAAAGAAGGTAGGGTTCCCTACGTTAACATCCCTTGGCCCCAAAGGGTCTTTCCACCCAAAATGGGTGCCTCTAAAACATGCACACACAGTTGGAGCCGTCCAACGACAGGCGGTCACGAAAAGCAAAGACGAAAAGCTTGCCTTGTCCGGGTGCCCGTTCGAAGTACACGCCGCCATCACGGTGCTGAAGCTAACCTGAGGGGTGAGTTTTTCAGGGAAAGCGTCTTGCCCAAAGGGCCCCGCCCGTTTTCGTTCCCAGTTTTCTTTTCAGGCTCGTTTTGTTGTCAAGGCAAAGCAAGCATCCTTAGGCTTGTCTCAAGCGAAGTCCGGGCTGGACGGATTCCTGGGCTAATGGGGGAAGTTATCCCTAGACAACTGTGATTCGCCAACCTGAATTGAGGAACCCTACTCTGGTTGAGTTAGGAGGAAGTCCAGGAGTGGTTAGTGCAACAAATGAGCTACTCCCCTGATTCTTGTGGTTGAAACTTAGATATCGTCCCCACACCCATCCCAAATAGATCATAAACAAATGAAGAATCAAAGAGCGCTTAAAAGCGGGACATCCTTAAAACAAAGGTTTAAGTGCCCTTTGCCTCGTTTGGTTCTCCGATTTTTTGTTTCGAACTTCCCATGTTGCACCCATCAGAGTGTTTCCTTGACATGGTGCTTCGACACCTCTTGGTATTTCAGAACACCATTTGAGAAATCATAAAATGCCATTGTTTCTTTAAACAACAGAGAGACAAAGAGAGGGAAAGTAAGAGAGACAAAGAGAAACGGAGCGAGAGAGAGAGAGAGAGCGAAAGAACAAGAGAGAGCGACGCTTAGACAGAATACAAGTTGGCTTTTCTTGAACTAGGGTCGTTCCCATCTGGTTGCTATTTCGAGGAAACCCACAATTTCGGGGACTGCCAGACCCGAATTCGAGGCACAGCGCTGGGCTGCAAGGAGCGCTCGCGCAGCTGGTGCCAGATCCCCAGGCTGTGCCTGCAGAACTCACGAAGTTGTGGGCCCAGGGACGCGTGTGTCTGGCTTTTGTGCGGTGGGAAACAGGGATCCTTACATTATACACCTGAACATTGCCTTGGTGAGAAGTCTTCCCCAAACCAACAGTACCTGGCCGTATGTGGGGTACACCAAGCATATATCTAAAAGATTCTGGTGAACATAACATATATAATTGTGGAGGAGGCCTCAGAGTATACTACAGATACTATTGTCAATTACTCAAAAGATCTAAGGGCCAGCTTGCATACCCCAAATGGACATACCCCAAAATCAGTGGTCATATCTGGGTTATTTAGCGGTTATTTAGCGTGCATACCCCAAAACCCATTATTAGATAGGCCAGCAGGTTGAATATGTCCATTTGGGTATGTAGGTTGGCCCTTAGACATGAGGTCCTCGTTGAAAACTCATTCGACCCGATTGCCGCAAGGGTAGACATTTGGTTGTTCTTCGTTTGAGGCTTGGTACCCTTTTCGGGCTTGCATAAACAACGCCTTTATTGGGGGAAACAATCGGGAACCAACAAACACACTGATTGGGTGAACAATGCATGGGTATGTCAGGCAAGCGGGGCCCCGCAAAAGCATGTTCCCTTTGGTCTCCCTTTTCAACCAACTCCAAAAAAAGTACACAGCCTCAAAGCTGCGCCTAGGCAGAACCCCTAGAGGTCTAGGTGTGTACCTGGTTGATGGCCTATGAATATTTACATTGATCGTGTTGGTAGAACCAAAGTCAATGGGTGTTAAAGGTTTTGGGCGCCGCTCAATTGGGCACCCTGCTTCTTTGTCTCTCTGAAATGAAGAACCCGAAACCGTGAAGGGGGAACCCTCAAGAAAGAACGACGCACCAACAGAAGTACCAACCCTCAAAATGGCGTCAGCCCCCGGTATTACCCAACAGCAAGTGCAATTGAGCAAACCCATCAACTTTTATTGCAAGGCTTACGTTGATTCCCCCCTTCCCCATTCAACCAGCCGGACCACTCTACCCGATCCGCTCACCGCCTCCACGCTTTGCGACAGGCGCCCATCGCGGTGTTCAACAGCACCACGTCCGGCGCGACTTCGGCAGCGTCCATGTCGCGCAGCACTTGGAGCGCCCCCTGAGATCTCTTCGGTCAGAAGGGTGTTTCTCTTCAACTGAACTCCAACATAGTTGGGTTTCTCTTGGTTTCCCTTGAAACACCAACAGGGGTTCACCATTTTGAGAATCTCCCAAATGGGGGTTCCGTTTTTGAGGGTATCTTTTGGGAGTGGTTTCAAAGGACGATTGAAGGGGCACTACCTATGTCTTTCTGTTAGGGTATGCTTTTCAGCTTTGATTAGAACCATTTCCAACACAAATCTTTTAACAACCTCCTTTGGGCCTCCCAACTACCTCAGACTTTGCCCCCAGCTCAAATGTCAGCAACCCACCGGGTGACTTGGTCCAAAGCGTTTCAAGCCACATGAAGGAAAACCTTGTGGTGCCAAGAGGTCAGATTGGCGCTGGGCAGAAAATCTGTCATCAGGGCTCGCCATGTTCCCCTCGAAACAACAAGTGATGATTGAACTGGGCTTCTGCTAGATTTGTGGCTTCGCCACCCTCCCCCCACTAGGCTATCCCCTCATGGCTTTGTTTGAGGAAGAGCATTTGTTGCAGCGCCCAGTCATACTCTATCCTGTGAACCATCGGCACTTTTCAAGCCGACTTTGAGAGGAAGTGGCGATCTGCACCGAGGGACCCGAAACGTGTGAAGTTGAACCCGCGGGGAACATGGGGAACTTCAGGCCACTATGGCCGGGTCTCTTTTTTGAGGGTACCCCTGTTTGGTTGGATTAGAGGGGAGCCGGCACAAGCGGCATCAGTTTGGAGGTCCCGCTATTTTGAGACATACCCATGTACAGGCACGGAACTCGTGAAATTCAAACGATCCAAGAAATAAGTCCACCTCCCCGGAAAAAGCAAGTTCAACAGCCACGCCAACGCCTCACTACTTCCAAAACACCTGATCTTGTTTATATAGGAGAACCCGCGACCCCTTCGTGGGGTTGACACCAAACAAAAATCCAAACCTCCCAACATTGAATACCATACAAACGGGATTCCCAAGTTTGGGACACGCCCACTTCCAACCCAGTCTGCGCAATGTCTTTTTTGGGGGAAAGACTGGCATACCTGTAACGGAACAAACTACCTGTTTAGATATGCATCGTGTATCCGTGATCTTCTTAATATGGGGACTTAAAAGGGAACCAACCTTGGTTCCCTGTGATGCCCGCTAGAACCAGCGATTTCAGAGACGGGTCCCAACCTCCCGTAAGTGAGGGTCGCAATTCCATTCGCCTAGACAGTTGCAACACCTCTTTGAAAGAGGGTCGTTAGACCATGCACCACATGGGAGGGTCGTATTGAAAGTCTGGAAAAGTGGAAGCCAAAGGTACGCCCGCAAATTGAGACCGAGACTCCCCCTCCATCGTTTCTACAGTACCCAGGACAGGTGCTGAGAACTTTTAAGCCCTTGGCTGACAAGAAACCTTCCAACAAGCGAGATTCAACTCACTGAAGGGTGAAGGTTCTGCGAACCTCTGCGTGGGGCGGGGCAGAGTTTCTAAGGGCTCGACCACATATTCCTGGAGCTCATACCCTTTGTGCTGCACGGCGGTTTTGCTTTTGGTTTCCCTTTAAAACCAACCAGAAAGGGCACGAAGAAAGACACAGGCATAAGTTAGGTTGGTTGCCCAGCTGCCCCCCCTCCCCCCCAGAAACTGACCCCCCCCCCCCCAGAAACTGACAGGACACTTCAGGTCAGCTGAGGCGGCAGTTCCCGAAAAACCCTTCGCAAGAACCAGACATTCAAAAGCCTCCAACAACAGAAAAGGGGCACATCGTCAATTCCCTTGAGACTTTGCCTCTCCCCATCCCCCAGTGGATTTCCACCCAGCAAAACAACAACAGGATGACACTCCCCACCCAAACAAAAAGGACACCTCTCCCCCAAAGAGAAAGAAGAAACACCATCCTTCCACCCAACAAAAAGGGACCGCCCTCAGCTCGCAACCCACTGGAGGTCTTCAGCCGGCCCGAAGCCCGAAGCCCGAGAAGCGGCGCCTGCCAGTCCTGGGCCCTCTTGCACGCCACAGCCGCAGAGTTGAAGCCCAGCATCGCGCCGCGTTTTCCTGGACCCCGAACATGGCCGTTTTCCCACATGTTTTCCGAAGCAAAAACGTGACAAAAAGGGGGAGTTTCCACCACCCAGGTTTGCTTGTTTGGGCCAAATGCTTGTGTTCGGCCAACTCCTGGTTTTACAAACACCTCTTGGTCAAACAATCTGCATTTTTTTCCTTTTTTTTTAACAGAAGGCCAAAACCTGAAATAAGGACCTCCCAAGTCAAAAAGAGCTACATGATAGTGAGCTCGATTTACAGCATAGTGGGCTCGACTTACACCCAGGTGAGCTCGCAAGAAAATAGGCAAATATGTGCTACCCCAGCTTTTGCCCTCCGCGCAAGATGATGCTTGGATTCTAATATCCACAGTGAACCTCAAAATGTCAACGGAGGTCCCAGTTTCGGTTGGTAACTTGCGGGTGTGCGTTTTGGACGGCAATTACGCCATCCCTGTCTTGGGGGTATCTTGCACGGGGGGGGGGTTCCAGATCTTGGGTGGTGCTGATCACTTCCCCCTATCAACATAATTGAATACGCTAAATCTATAATGACGGAAGCTTCCTTCTTGAATTTACAACCCTGCCATAATCTGGAGATTTGAAATTTGGGGGTTCAAGTACTGCCGCTCTTGCAAATCCAAGGAAAACCTGAGCCCCTGAACTCTGTATGGTCGGTCTGCCCGCCTGCGGGTTTCAGGTTCCGTGTACCGCCTGCCGGGCGTCACCCTGCAAGTGGCCCCTGGCCTTATGGCTCGATACTGCGTTCTGCGGCGATGAGCAAGCAATGGCGGCTGTGCCCATTTGAGAGACTCCTTGTGCCAAATTCCGTCATGACCAGCAAGAAACTTCAATTGAATTGGATTCAAGAGGGAGGCTATCACTCTCAAGTTGCCACAGCAAAGGTCACGACTTTCGTCGCCGAAGATCCATAGGCTGATGGTAATCTGTAGGGATCCATGCTGGGGCTCGTCTTTAAAACATCCTTGGGGCTCGAGCTCCAAAAAGGAGCCAAGCAGCTCTTTTTGTTGACACCTTGACTGAGGGATGCTCTCATATCAAACAGGGGCTTATTATTGATCCTGGGCCCCAACAAAGTTAAACAGGATCCCTATATTCCCCTTGAAACAAGACACACCCCACTTGGAGAGCGCTCCCTTTTCATGTGCCCAACAAGTGATGTCTATGTCACTCAAACATTCGCTGCTTTGACACCTGCTTTTAAAAACTCAAACTCATTAAGTCTGTTCCAGCCACAACACACAAGCAGCACATAGCAGCTGGCATGTTTTCAGATTTGCCATGAACCAGTTTAGAACAAAGATGTAGGGAGCCCTGCCGAAGTGCTCGCACAAGAAATGACAACGATCAGCTAGAATGCATCTGGGTACTCAGGTAGCCGACCCCCGAACAACAGCTTATGTAGAATGTTGTAATTCTTCCATATTCAGGGCAACTTGCCATTTACCCTCTGCAAGAACCAGGGCAAAACAAATCCCCAAACCAGCAATCCAAGCCACCAAATCAGGGCAACCTGATATTCTCGACAAGTAAACACATTCATCCATCCCAAGGGCAGAATCATGGGCCAGGTCGCGACCCCTCCTTTCCCCTCAAAATGGCCAAGAATCCTTCCTTGTGCGGACACCTTCCAAAACTGAGAGCTTCACACCACAGCGGTGTTTCTGAAAATAAGGGTTGCGTTTGGGATGGTCTTGAGCAGAACCACAAGAAAACTATCTGAAGGGGTCCCCTAATTCTGAGAAACACCCACGGGATCCAAGCAACTTACGCGTGCGTTCTCGCACGCGCTGCCCGCCTCAGGCACCCCCACTTCTTGCCGGATTGCTGCCTGAAGCACACGTGGCAGAGATCGTCCAAGCTGCAGGTGTTGTGTCGTACGAACACGGGGTAGCCCAACTCATCAAGTACACCGCGCCCCATCCAGGTGTCCCTTGAAACGTGCCCCTCAATTTCTTCTGGGGGCAGAATGTCAAACAGTCCCAAACTGGTGTGCTGCAAACTCTGGCTCGCTGTTGGTCAAGAAGCCGTTGCCACAGCTGCCGGTTGGGCACTTCGCAAGAAAATTAGGCCCCCCGCCAAGACAATAAGCAAAGGAACAATAAGTTGATTGTACATGGGACCAACACAAGAACCAGGTGATCGACCCCTGAAAACCCGAACACCCGAAAACCACTCGCCGGCTGAGTCTGCCGCTGCCACGCTTCCGCGATGCAATCCTGGAGTAAAAGTGCGACTTGCCGGGAGGGGAGCAAATCATCAAGTAGATTCCTCATGTCTCCGAGACCCTTAAAAGAATGGGTTGCCATGCAGAAAGGGGCCATGGAAATCCAACATTTTTTGAAGGGTCTGGTCATTTCGATCATTGGATTGGTCAGGATTGATATGAAGTGGCCAATTGGATTGGCCTGTTGGAGCCGTTTCCCATTCTTTTCCCGTTGGATCTGGGCGAACCCAGCTGAACAACTTGACGGTTGTTTTAGTGAGAAACCCACTAAACAAAATAGTCCAAGACTGGACACCTCTTAAAAAACGCATTCTTCAACCGTCCATCGCTTGCCCCAGTGATTGCATTTACCACCATAGCAGGTAATCAGGGTTTCTCTAGGTATACCGTGGAAGATTCCTTTGATTACTTGTTGTTGATATCCTCCATTTGCTTAAGCCCCCCACCAAAAAAAGTAGTGCCAGATTCCATTTAAAACCAAGAAGGGAAAATACAATCTATTCTTAAGCAACTTGAAGCTATGAATGGCTTCCTTTGGCTTCGTACGGCGGTAACTGGCAACACGGGTTCCACCCCCCGCCTCATGTCCCGGGCTTTGCGCTCCACGTGGGTCGCCTCGAAGGGCGCAGCATGCCACGGGCATGCGGCTTCTGCTTATTCCTTTCGGCCCCCTTCGGAAAATGGAAACAAAGAATCCCTGCGCAACCTTAGGTCTTTAATTTCAGCCACGCCACGGGTAGAAACCTGACTTTGCAGCCACGCCACGGGTAGAAACCTGACTTTGCAGCCACAGAAAGGGTGGGAGCTTCCATGGAATCGCCGTCACGGAGGATGTGCTGATTTGAGCCTATCGATCTGGCTTCTCTAAAGTAAGCTTTTAGTTGTGTGCGTCACTTGTCCTTGTGTGATTTAGTATGCTTTTAGACTTTTTGAGTCGCCCATCCCTATGCGATTTGCCGGACTTCACGCTTTGTCCAGGGCGACCTTCCGGAGGCATCTGTGCCGATGGCTTGCACTAGCCCCCCAAACCACAAGGCCCTCAAAGGCTGATGGAAATGAGTTCTCTTCCTGGCTCAGGGTTTCTTCTACTTGCTTGGGGTTTTGGACACTGGTTGCTTGCCAATTCTTACAGAGAGCTTCCAACTACACCCCAGTTCCCCGGAAGGGTGGTGGTTCCACCTGAGCAGCCGGACAGACCACCATGAACGCATCATGCTTCTGGCGTGTTTGGCTGTTTCCAACTCCTCTTTTTGAAGTACACCTTCAGGGGCCAACAGCTCCAAGTAACTGGCAGGAGGTGAGCAATGATTCTTCCTCGCCAAACAAGCTTCGGGGGCCACGAAACAAATAAACAAACACATGAGCCCAGAAGGTCAAGAGGTTGGCTGCAAACTGAAGTCTGGTGCTTCGCCACTCAGTCTGACGCCCCTTTTGCTTCGGGCTGTTGACTACATGGCGACTTGCATTGAAAGCATATGGATGTACAATCCATGTTGGTTTCAGGAACAAACCCAGGATCGAGTGAAACGCCAAGCGCAGAGTCAAATGGAGCTTTGATCAACCATTCCGCCGTGCATTCACACACACACACATCCGTGACATGGTCCAAAACGCATCAAAGCCGGTGTTGTCAAGCATAGTGCTTGCAGCTACCACTAACATACGGAGCCAAGAGTAAACTGGATGCTAAGTTGCTCAAAGGACTAAGCTTTTTGAGTCTGGGCATCAGCACTCGACTACCCCAAAAGCCAAACTTGTCCCTGAGACGCCCTTTGCCAACCCGACGAGAGCCGCTGCTCCCTTGGGTCCCTGCTGGCTTCAGCCATTCCGGCTGGACTTGGCATTGGGCCTGACGCAGTCTGCCAAGAAAACAATAGGAACCTGTGGCAGCCAATGGGCGTTTGAGGTTGCATTTCAGTTCTTTGTTCCACTATGTTCCAATTAACCAGCTAATGAACTAGCTAGCCACAACCAGCTTCTGTTAATTCCAACCAGGTAGCCTCAAAGGACACACTGGTTGGTTTTCTTTGGATTCCCTTGAAGCCATCTCGGTCACAACCCGCTAAGTCCCGCGGGCGTGTGCCAAAAGCGAGGGTACCCTTCTCACCTTGGTTTAAGGGACACCAAAAGGATAACCCCATTTTTGGGGTACACCTATTGACTCAACATGTAGCCTTTAGACTCCGTTGGAAGCGGCACCAGATATCTGCAGAATCTGGTGAATCTACCAGTGTCTGAACACCCAAATATCCCTGCTGCATCCTATGGCGATTCCCGAACGTAGCCGCAAAGCCAACCTGGAGGAATTGGCCCATAGCGAGTTTCGATCTGGATTTCGAGCAAGCTGATCTGGGTGCTCAATAGGGGCACTGCAACAAATCAAGATATGTTGATGCTCTTGGTTGCTTCGGGAAAACACATGATGGGCTCAGGAAACAGACAGTCTTCGCGGATCGCCACTTGTAGTTGGTGGTTTGTCTGCCAGTATTCATAGGGTTTCATCCGTCCCAACTGAAGCCACCGCAAAAGACACAACTGTCCTTTGCACTTTTCGGGAGTTGAGACATGTTGAGAAACTTGCGCGAGGCAAACACCGCCGAAGACCCTTGGCAGCTAACCCCCCTGCCACCGCTGGAGCTCCTGAGGCCGCGGCGGCAGAGATCGCCTCGCAGGCGGTGAGCCACCACAGCGCTGCGACCAGGCCGGACCTGGCGGCCGATGGGGGTGTCCGGTTGTGGGTAGCATTCGAGTAGGTAACCAGGGAACTCGTGTGAAACCTAAAGGTAGCCACATGTGGGCGTGTCCTTTTTTGGAGTTGGTGCGCTTTGTCAAGGGTTCTCGTAGAGATGTGGAGGGAAACCAAGAGGAAACCGTTCTTTTTGAAGGCTCTCTATTTTAAGACACGGCCACATCTTTTGTGGATGTTCTCCACCAATGTCCAATGTGATACCAGGGAACTTGCCCCTGAAGAACTAGCCTTTGGACTGCCATGGTGTCGCAGAAGTGGGCATTCTCACAACCAGTGCTTGAAGAACCCCTTGATCGAAGAACTCGGAGTTGCCCTGTGCAAATTGTCAATATGCAAAATAGCTTCCACTGCCTCCAAACTACAACCCCCAATGGGTCTAATGAGAAATACAACCACCATTTACAGCCACTAAATAAAGGACAGCAACTTGGTACTTTTCTGGGTTGCGGTAGTCGTTTGGGAGTAGTGGACACCATCTCTGACAGTTGTATCAGTCGCTCGCGCCTTCCGGTGTGCATCAGCAGGGCCTCAGTTTCTCAGGGGCGGGGGTGACCCCGAAAGCACCAACCTCAGGAGAACATAGGGTATATGTATATATAGATACAACATATATATATATAGATTATGTATACATATATATATGTATACAATATATATGTCTCTATGTAAGTTTTAACATACCTCCAAAGTTAACCACGTCTTCTGCTTTCCGCGATCCTCGCCAGCCCTGCATGGCGCGCAACCACTTAGCCGCCGGCCCAAGCGACG